CTTGAATACTATCTTTTTTTTTTTCCTAAAAAATTTGCTAGGTGCAAACTGCTAATAGCTCACTGAGGATGTTTGTGTTGTTTCTGAATTATATTTAGCTGTGGCTTTATGATGGTGTTGCCTGGTTTTGTTATCGAAAATATCACTGATTTCATGAAGTGAACTGGAAATATTTTCCTTCTCACTTTTTCCCAAGACATCTGGGCTGGATTCATATTTCTTCCCTAAATATTTGATAGGATTCAGGCGTTGACTCAACTGACTTGGATTTTTCCTAGATTTGTAAATATTCAATTTTTTTTTCTTTTTGGGTCACATCCGGCGATGCACAGGGGTTAACTCCTGGCTCTGCACTCAGAAATTACACCTGGTGGTGCTCAGGGGACAATATGGGATGCTGGGAATCGAACACAGGTCGGCCACATGCAAGGCAAACGCCCTACCCGCTGTGCTATGCTCCAGCCCCCCCCAATTATTTTTTAAATGTATAGGATAGCTCACATTTTCTCCTGGATAATTTTCATGAGAAATTGCTTCATCTAATTTCCTTATTTGTTGGCAGTTTTTTGTACTATGTCCTTTTAATATGCTTAATGTAAGACTTGTAGTAATATTCATTTCCTTGCCATTCACAAACGACAACTTGCATCTTCTTTTCTTGATCAATCTAAAGATTTTTCCATTTTAGTGATCTTTGTAAATAACCAGTATTTAGTTCCACCTATCTATCTTTTTGAATACTGATCTCCTTCCACACTGATCTTTATTATTGCAATTTTGACTGGTGTTTAAATTCTTTTTAATTTCCTAAATAGGCAATCAAAAATTGATTTTAACTTCTCTTTGTAACTTTGGCATAAATCTTAAAGCTCTACTTTTTTCTATTGTTTTAACAGATCTCGGGATGTTGTGTTCTTATTTTCACTGACATATTTTTTAATTTCCCTTAAGATATTCTCTTTAAGGGGGTATGGTGCTGCCAGCAGGTCAATCTGTACCTGCGAGGCGAGTGCATCAGCAGCCTGATGGCACCATCAGACTTTCAAATACCCCAAAATTGCTGCTGTGCCTTTGGCCAGACCACAAAAACTTGGGGCAAAGTTTACCAAGAAAGTAAATGGCCAAAAGTTAGATATGTGGGAGACACACCCACAAAGCACCTCCGGCTCAGCTATATAATTGGAGGCATGGCCTATTTGGTTCCTAACTGAACTGCTTAACGACCATGATCCCAGAGGCTCAGAGACAAACCTCAGAACCCAAAGGCTTTTGGCAGAAATGTGTCCTGTTCCTGCAGTAGATTACTGGGGCTGGGCCACTCCAGGTGGGGATAGGTTTCGTGCCTTGGCCTGTTCCCCCTGGCTGCCCGGTGACCATCATCCTCCAGAGGCCACTGGACAGGCAGGTTTGGGCCTGCAGTGACGAGATATGTGGGGCCTCACCAGATGGGTGTGGAACCAGCCCTTTCCTCCCCATCCCAGCAAGACCCCAAGTCACTGCCTACAAACGACCTCTCTGGCTCCTGTTCAAGCTGATTAATGGCCATAATCCCAGAGACTCAGAAACAAATCTCGAAACCCAGCAGCTTTTGGCAGAAATGCATCTGGACCACATACACGGCCATGGTTCCAGAGGCAAAAGGACTTAGTCCAGAGCCTGGCAGCTTGCGGCAGAAAAGTGAATGGACCATGCGTTAAACTATGGCACCATGCCTCCCTGGGTGGGAAAGGGTGTTGCTCCCTTCCGCCCCTCCCCACCCCACCCCACCCCCCCGACAGCAAGGTGGCCACCACCTCAGAGCTTATAGGAAAGCCAGGTATGAGCCGATGGTGACAGGGCAACTGCAGTCTCATGGGAAGGGGGACGGTACTGACTCGTCCTTCTCACCCTACCGAGATCACGAGTTGCCCCCCACGAGCGGCTCTCCAACACAGCCGTAACACCAGATGCACAGAAACCAATCTCATAATTATCTGGCTCTTCGCAGAAATTCAAAATCACACGGCCACTATTGCGGCCGCATGACATTATATGATTCTCATAACCAGCTATAGAAAACAAAGTATTTCACAATGCCTTTTCAGCAATTCTGATTGATGGGGTGGGGGGGGGGGGGGGAATTCTAAACAATAATGGTGCATCTCTTGTCGAAATAATGAATGTAATCAATGTAGAGAAGAGTTAAGTGGAAATCATCTGCCCAACAGGCACTGGGAGGGGTGGGGGGGTATATTGAGGTTCTTAGTGGTGAAAAATGAGTACTGGTGAAGGGAGAGGTGTTTGATTATTGTATGACCGAGACTTAAACCTGAAAGCTTAGTAACTTTTTCCATAGTGATTCAATAAAGAAAGAAAAATAAACTATGAAAAAAAAAAGGTGGAGTTCATGCCCAATTCAGTCAGCTAATCAGTGGCTGAATAAATAGCAGTACTCCTACATTAAAAATAAATTCTCTTTAATTTGTGAGTTATTAAGTTTGCTGCTTAATTTAAAAGCTAAGAATAGAATGTCTCAGCTTTTTGGCTATTATAGATTTCTAAGTCATTTGTTGTTGTTAAAGAATGGTACATTTTATATAATTTTTTTTGCAGGGGTGGGGATAGGGGGCATGTTGGGGCAATGCTGGGTGGTTCTCGGAGCTTACTCCTAGCTCTGTGCTCAGGGGTGGCTCCTGGCGGTGCTCGAGAGAAATGGGTCAGTCACGTGCAAGGCAAGTGCCTTGCTAAGCCTGGCTTGCTCCTGGCCTGGGATGCTATTATCATCCAGCAACTGGTTTATTTTGTGAACGTGCCATGTACCCCTATAAGCCTGTGGATCCGCAGCTGGTGGTGGTGTTCTGTAGCTGTCAGCTGGGTGGTGAACGGTGCTCATCGAGTTTCCAGATTCCTAGGGACCTTATGCCCACTTGGTCCCCTGTTCTCAAGTGCTCACGTTTTCAACCCTAACTGCCAACTTCTCTCATCCATCTTTGAAGACTGTAATTTTTTCACGTATTTTGGAACGTTTAAGTTCAAGTAAATTTATGAGTCAGGGCTGGAGACACAGCACAGGGCTGAGTCCGCAACCCCTGCCAGGAGGAGCCCTGAACACAGCCCAAGGGGCCCAGGCACCCGCGATGACAGACAATACAAAGAAGTGAAGTACTAGGCGTGCTCAAAGGGAACACATGCGGCCTCAGAGCTGGCCGTGAGCGATCTCGGACAGACAGAACGGGCCAGCGGCAGACGCTGGGTGGGAACTGACGCCAAAGGACAAGCAGTAGCCCTGGGGTCAGCAGAGTGCTCAGCAGTCAGGGCACTGCCCAACATGGCACCCTGTGGCCCCCGAGGGTCCCAGGGACAGTCCTGCCACTCCTCAGGCTCAAGAGCCACCGGCCTGGCTGGTCAAGAACGAACAAGCTGGTAAACATTTGGTTCATTTCCAGAATTTGGCTGTTGTGAAGAATGCTGGGATGAAAATGGGTATGTATGTACCCCAGATGATTAATGTCCTAATGTTATTGGGGTGAATGCCCAGGAGGGGAATCACTGGGTCATATGGAAGTTCTAGTCAAAAGTTTCTGGGAATAACTACACACTGTTTTCCATAAGGTGTAGACAAAATGTAATCTTATTTCATGATTTTTTTAAAGGCATATGACATTGAATATCTTATCATATGTTTATTTTTTTCTTTTCGGGTCACACCTAGCAATGCTCAGGGGTGACTCCTGGCTCTGCACTCAGGAATTACTCCTGGCAGTGCTTGGGGGATCATATGGGATGCCGGGGATCGAACCCAGGTCAGCCGCGTGCAAGGCAAACGCCCTACCCGCTGTGCTATCTGTATATATTTTGTGCAAGGTTTCTGTCCAGATATTTTGACCAGTTTTTAGAGGGTAATTTGTTTTCTTATTGTTTGGTTTTCAGAATGTAATTTGATTTAATGTCTTTTAGGTTCAAGTCCTTTATTAAATATGTTCTGGTACCTGGTCTTCTTTTGCTGCTGTTTTTTTTTTTAACTATACAGAGATTTACTTTCCAAACAAGACAGTTATTTCAGATACAAACAAAATTGAGAAAATATAAAATAGGTTTAGAGTTAGCAGTGAAGGAGAAAGAATATTTTCCAACATTAAGTCATAGGAGTAACAAATCTAAAGAGCATACTAATTTCATTATTTTCAGATTTCTTATAGGGAGCTACTAAAGTTCATCACACGTTTTAAGTTCTTGCTTAATAAAATATCTTAAGGAGAAGAGAAAAAAAAAAGAATGGACAAGCTGGGCACCACTTGAGACAGACAGACAGACAGACACACACACACACACACACAAACGTACACATGTACATGAACACACACACACTGCTCCATCACAGTGAGCACCACAGCTGACCCTACACACCACCCAGAAACCTGGTGAGGAGGGAGGAGTAGCCATAGGGGCCCGGGGCCACAAGCCAGCCCACCAAGGCCACACCAAGGTCATCAGCTTCCAGATCTGCAGCATTTCTGAACCCGACCAACTATACTATGCCCTATTTTTACGACCTATTTGTGAAAGTGAACAACTGTTTTATACATTTATTTTACAGGGTGGTTTGGGCCACACCTGGCTATACTCAGGGGCCCATAGGGGACAGCGGGGACTGAACCTGGTCGGCTGCGGGCAGGGCAAACATCCTACGCACTAGAGTCTCGCCCCAGCACCCCCTTTTTATACATACTTACAATTATTGTACAATATAATTTTATATTATGAAATACCTAATACTACCACCTACTGGACAAAGAAAAACATTTGGCCTTAAATAGGGGGAGGAGAGAGGGGAAGGTGGGGGGGGGGGAAGAGGAGGGAGGAGAGAGAGAGAGAGAGAGAGAGAGAGAGAGAGAGAGAGAGAGAGAGAGAGAGAGTCAAAAACTACAAAAACCGTTAAGTTTATTCCTGTTTCACAACCTCAAAATACCCGCCTTGAAAAGAAAGCCCCCTCCGCCCAGTGCACGGCCGCCCTCCCGACCCCACCCCCGCAGTCACGTGTAGATGTTACTCTGAACCTCAGTCGTCGTTATCAGCTTCTTCAGTATCTCTCTGCTCTGAGGAACATTCTGGAAAAAGAGGGAAAAAGGATGGGTGAGACGGAGACCTGAGTCCCCATCCACACACTGGCCGGAGGGACTAGCTGGGCGGGGCTAGTGGGGCTGCTCGCCTTCGAGCACAGGCTCCATACCTGGTGCTCAGCTCGTTTCCCCCACCCTGGCGGCTCTGCGCACCTGAGGACAACTGCCCATCCAGCCCCAGCCCAGTCCCTGGGGTCCCTACGCAGAGGCACCCCAGAACTCCCCCAGGAGACCCCAGCGACCTGCCGCACCCACCCAACCCTGACTCAGAGCAGACCTGGCTGGGCGGCAGGTGTCAGCCCACTCCCCCCAGAACACAGCGCGGCAGGGTGCAGGCCCTGGGGGGGGGGGGGGGGGGGAAGGGCACATGTACGGATCAGGTGTGTGCATGTGTGTGTGTGTGTGCGTGCATGTGCACAGAGCGCTGAGTGTGGGGCGAGCATGTATGATGCCACGCGTGTGCGTGCTGCTCCCGCTGGGCCCCACAGGGCTGAAGGAACACTAGAGCAGGAATGACCAGGGGGCCGGGAGGCCACCCATGCCCCTGCTGCCCTCCGGCCCGCCGCTCTATGAAGCCCAGGAAGTCGCCGTCACCGTGAGAACTGAGCTAAGTCCATTCTAGAACAAGCAGAGCGGAGAGTCCGAGGTCAGACCCTCTCCCCTTCACAGGAGAAAATCTTTTTGCTTTGGACCACAGCTGGCCGTGCTCAGGGCTGACTCCCGGCTCTGCACTCAGGAATCCGTCCTCACAGTGCTCAGGGGGCCACACGGGCGCTGAGGATTGAGCCCGCTTGGCCGTGTGCAAGGCAAGCCCCCCCCCCCCCCACCGCCACCCCACCCCGCCGCTGTCCTATTGCTTTGGCAGGAGTCACGGGCTGACACTGAGGGGCTGTAAGGGTCCCCAGGGGCCAGAGCCCACTCCCGGCTAAAGGGGGGTCATGCCCCATGTATGATTCATCCTAGGGCCTTCACAGGTCCAAGTACCGCAAATGAACAGTTCTAAAAACTAGACCCACACGGGCCTGCTCGGTGACGCTCCTCCTGTCACAGGAATGTGGGCAGGTAACATCGTTCTCTGCGGCCCCGGGGACCCCACCCTGTGCCCCCACGGCTCCTTGCGGGGACAGAGGCCGACAGGAGCTGCAACCTCACCTTCACCAAACCCCGTAGGCTCCGGGACTCCAGGAGGGGCTGGAAGGCCTCCGCTGTCACCGGGTCCAGCTTCATCACGTCTGTGTAGCACAGGTATAGCACAGCCGGGATCCCCCACACCTGGCAGTGGCTCAGGACTGCACGAAACAAGGAGAGCGAGCGTCAGAGAGAGCAGGTGTGGGGGAGGGAGGGGAGGGCGGGTGTTGGCGAGAAAGGGCATCATCGAGGGTGTGCGTCAGGGAGGGCGGGCATCAGTGAGACTCTCAGGAGAGAGTGGGCGTCAGTGAGACTCTGTCAGCAGCACGGTTCGTTGGTGGCCCTCAGCCTCTCTGGTCTGGTCAGCTAGGATTGGCCCAGCCCAGCGGTCTACCACCTCTCAAAGTCAATTCAAGCAACACTTGTGCTTTTGCAAATATATTCATTTTCCATTTTCTGAACGTCACACTGACAGAATTTTTTTTTCTCTCTTGTTTCTGGGGCACACTGGCAGTGTTCAGCCATCACATCTGGTAGTCTCAGGGGACATATGTGGTGCCAGGGACTGAACCCAGTGTGGCCATGTGCAGGCAAGCACATACCCTACAGCCACACAACTGTTCCAGCCCACAGATACATCTTAAATAGCAACAAGATTAAAATTCTGCTAATTACAATAAAAGTAAACAAAAGAAAAGACATGAATGTAAAATATTTCGGCACTTCTTAGTAAACAACATTCAAAGGGGAGCAAACCTATTACTCTATGTATAATTAACAAGCAACTACCGTAGACCATTACTAAAAAGCAACAACCTGATTTTCATACACTCAGGTAGAAATTTTGTTTTTTTCGGGGTCACATCTTGCAGTGATCAGAGGTGCTCCTGGCTCTGCACTCAGGGGGTCACTCTTGGTGGTGCTCAGGGGACCATACGGGATGCCAGGGATCAAACCCAGGTCAGCCATGTGCCAGGCATAGGCCCTCTCCGCTGTGCTATCGCTCCGGCCCCTCAGGAGGAAATGTTTAATGTAGTGAGAGAGATGAGAGTGACAACCGAGACTCGATCTCCAGCACCTCGGTTCTGGTCACTTAAGCGGCCGCCACCAACTCCCCACTCCAGGGCAGGGCGCCAGGACTGGCGGGAGATGCCAGCCAAAGCTGGAACGTTTGGCGAATGGCGCTGCAGCCGTCACCTCAACAAACCCCTGAAGGGAGGCTTTGCTGACTGGCCAGCGGGCAAGTGCAGCCCCACGAGCCCGCCTCTGTGCCCTCAGGAGAGCAGACTGGGACTTCCCAGACAGGCAGAGGGCAGGTGCGGGGGCTCCCTCCCGCCCCACCCCCCCCCCAGGACCCCACACCTGCAGCGGGGAGGTCATGTGCGATGTTGGGCTGCTCGAGCAGCGGACAGCACAGGGGCTCCCGGTAGTCCCGTGTCCTGAGGGCCCGCAGGAACGGTGAGGGCAGGCTGCCCGTCGACTCGGGGCTTTTATAGTCCGTGACGTGGCGACACGTGAGAATAGTCACTTGCATGTTCTTCCGTGGGCAGGAGCCGAAGACCTAATGGAAAATCAAGTCCAACTTCAGAGACGCGTCGTCGCTGGCTGACCGGACAGACACTCCTCTCAGCCGCTTCCCGGGCCGGAACCTCAGGTCAAGCATCCAGGGGCAAAGGGCCTGCACCTGGCCGCCTCTCACCCAGGTCCGAGCTGGACTCCATCTAGAAAGTTCTAGCTGGGTAACCTTCTCTGAGTCACGTGCCCTGTCTGACTTGGGCCAGCACCCCAAGCAATGGGAGCAGGCGTGGGACCACCCCCGCACCTCTCTCGCCCTTAGAAATGCCCTTGTGGGGGACGGGGGCGAGCCACGTCCACTCCCCAGGACCCTCCCAGCTCTCAGAGCCCCTGATGGTGCTGTGTGCCTGGAACACACAGGAAGAGGTGCCCCAGGGAAAATGAGGCCATGAGATTGGCTTCTGCATGGACAGACACGGAGAGTGTCGCGTGGAGTGAAAGAGTCGGAGGGAGAGAGGCCAGGGGGATTGGTCCACGGTTGGAAGCTGCCCTGAGTAAGAGTGTAGAGGGGCGTTAGGACAGAGAAGGGACCACTATGACACTGAGAGATGGAAACGATCACTGGCAAGAACTCGAGTGCTGAGAGAACGGAAAAGGATGTACATGATAACCTCAGGAACAGCACCGCAACACTGCAGACCATGAGGCCCAGAAGAGAGAGCAAGAGAGAGACAGAGAAAGGGGGGAGAGAGAAGGAGGGAGGGGGAGGGGGAGAGAGAGAGAGAATAAAAGAGAAAAAAAAGAAAGAAAGTGGTGTCCATTGGTCGCCAATGAAGCTGGGGGAAAGAAAATAAAATAGCTGGTGGGGAAACAAACATTTCTTGAAAAGAAAAAGGACTGATTTTAGGTCACTTCTCTGAAAATACTTCACGAAGAGACAATATGGCAGGCCGGGCGCTGGCCTTGCACAGTGTCATGTCTCAGTGTCATGTCTGACCCGGGCCAGCTCCCGAGTCTGCAGGAGTGATCCCTGCGCAGAGCCAAAAGCAAGTCCCAACACCATCAGGTGTGGCCCCAACACAACTCTGAGAAAAAAGAGCTATTTCAGATGGGAACAGAACTGAAGATTTCCTGCCATTGCTCCAAATAATGCAGACCTCAGCCCAGCCCAGCTCTGCACGCAGACTAGAGGCCACCGGGTCCGGGCAGGCACCCACACACGCTGCTCAGTGCGCCCAAGAGTCGGGGGTCACCATCAACGTGGAAGAAAACACCTGTTCCCTGACACACGATTAGTATTTGCGACATGACAGTTATTCTACATCAATTAAAAATATAAGTTAAAGGTGAGAGTGGGAGGACGGTGCAGAGGACACTGGCCTTGCAATGCCACCCACCCGAGTTTGCTCCCAGCACCCCACAGGGCCCCCCCGAGTCCTGCCAGGAGTGATCCCTGAGCATGGAGCCAGGGGGGGAGTCCTGAGCACCTCTGCATATGACCCCAAAGCAGAGAGTAAGAACGAAAGAACAGGCAAACAGCAGCCTGACAAAAGCAGGCCACTCACGCTCTCCTAGGCCTGTGCGGGTACCACCGCCTTAGCTTCGGCACCTAAGAGCACCGGGCGGGGGTCCCCATGCCCACCGCCCCGCACCCCACAGGGCGGCTCCTCACCAGAGCTCACTTTTCTTCCAGGGAAAGCCTTGAGGTGCCGCCCACTCGGGCGCAGACTGCGGGGCCTTGGTGGGAGGGAGGAGGCCGTGGACCCCAGGAGCGGGCAGCGTGGTCCCCGTCCCCCAGGAGGGGACCTGGCCCACTTACCTTCTCCAGCCACTGGTACTGCTGGTCATCGGCCACGTAGCAGCTGCACTGGCAAAGGACGACCTGAAACGAGAAGCCCAGCATCCAGGCCACGGTGACACGCCCTGCCGTGGGCCGCCCTAAAATCACGCTCCAGCCGCCGTGCCACGGCACCTGCACTCCTGAAATTATTCCGGCCCCTTCACGGGTGAAGACCTGGCAGGCGGTTGGAATGGAGACAAAGTCACACAGGGGACTTCCCTGTTGGAAGGGGAACATGGCCAGCCTGCAGCCCCCGAGCAGAGACTGCAAACGTGGGGTGTCCCAGCCCCGGAAGCATCGGGAAACCTGCCCTGCCGCCAGCAACGATGGCCTCGGTTTAGAAAGCGGACCCCACGGCCCAAGAGGACGCAAAGGCCGCAAGGCCAAGGAGAGAGCCCTGACGGAGGCTCAGGGAGAATCCCTCCACAGAGATGTTCGCACCATCTTCTGAAAGGCCGTCAGGACCGGCAACACGTGACTGCACGGAGCAGCACCAGGGGACGGGAAAGTGGGCAGCTAGACAGAGAACCAAGGGATGTCACAGGGACATTCAACTCGCTCTCTGCTTCCAAGTGACACTGTTGCAGTGAGGATCAGTCTCCTCATTTCCGACAGACACAGACTCGGCATAAAAATCTGCCGTCTTGGGGCTGGAGCGATAGCACAGCGGGTAAGGCATTTGCCTTGCACACGGTCAATCCAGGTTCAATTCCCAGCATACCATATAGTCCCCCGAGCACCACCCGGAGTAATTCCTGAGTGCAGAGCCAGGAGTAACCCCTGAGCATCGCCGGGTGTGACCCCCCCCCAAAAAAAAAAAGAAAATCTGGCGTCTGAACTCTGGGCTCCGGGTTACAGACACGGGGTTGTTGTGTTACCAGGCTGGGTCCTTCCTTTTTGGAATAAGGCATGTTGGGATGAGCAGGCTCCTCCCCTGAAACAAGCTAGTCCTCTCAACCCCTGAACAACACAGAATCCCTCAGGCACTGCCAGGAGTATGCCCTGGGCACTGCAGGGTGTGGTCCAAAAAACCAAAATAAATCAGGACCAATCGGCTTTGTCCAGAGTTGCCTGTAGACTACATCAAGGACACACCTATTCATCAAACACTAACTGAGGAGGCTGGAGCCACAGCACAGCAGGGAGGGCGGTTTCCCTTGCATGCGACAAACCTGGGTTCGATCCCCAGCATCCCATATGGTCTCCTAAGCACCGCCAGGAGTAATTCCTGAAAGCACATCCAGGAGTAACCCCTGAGCATCACTGGGTGTGACCCAAAATGGAGAAAAAAAAAAACCCACCACTAACTGAATCTCTGGGCTAATTCCACATAAACAACAAGAAAGCAAAGACCCCACTCTTCCTCCCAGAGGACAAACGTTTGCATGAAGAGAGCTGACACTGCCAGTCATGGAACCACAGAGCCCAACATGAGGGCCTAGGTTCACGGCCTGGAACTGCACTGCCCACCCCCCCCCAAAAAAAAACTATTCGACAGCTGCCACAGCTGAAATAATTTTTGGGTGAGAACAGCTAACACCTGCAGTTTGCTTTTAATACCGTGCACATTAGTACCCACATACGGTTTCCCAAACCCGTGAATCAAGGTGGTCCCACTCACATACCGAGGGATTGGCTTTGTGATGGTAGAACACGCAGAACGCCTCGGCGGGAGACACATGGATCGTGTCTGTGGTCCGGCACCATTCGTTCCACAGTTTAGCACAACCAACTTCTTCCCAGACTCCCGAATTCATGACAAACGACGACAAAAAGGCTGCGGAAGCAATGCACAGAAGTCAGTGTCTGGTTCTCAAAGCTGCTTTCTCTACCCCACCAGCATCAGCTCTCGGCCCTCTCGCATCTCAGAGCGCCGGGGTCACTCACGACCAGCCACCTTATGCGGCCACTCTGCAGTCGAACACTGGGGCCAGCCCGAGAGTGCAGGACACTGGAGCGAGAGGCCGAGGGCCAGGCCCACGGTACCAGTGCAGGAAGCAAGCTCCTTTGCCATCTTGTGTTGTGGGTCACCCCAGCAGTGCTCAGGGGATCAGATGGTGCCAGGGACCAACCCTGGATGTCCTCCGCAAGTGCCCACACCCTGGGCCCACTGAGCATCTCTTCAGCCCTGAGGCTGAGGGCTGTAACCGGGGGCTCCCAAATGCCCCCAACCCTGACCCTCCCCGAGTTACACAGCTGTCTGTACGCACTGTGCTGTTCTCCACTGCTCCTAACCCTCAGACGGCTGAGACGTGTTAAGACCCAGGAACTTAGACGCAAATGTGTCAGTTATTATTGGGTCTTTTTTTTTTTCCAGAGTTCTCATCATATCCTCGTGGAAAACCTTTTTTCAAGTCACCAGTCCCTCTGCCCTCGTGTCTGGTCTGCGGCTGACTACTACCAGAGGCGCTCTTGCGGATGACCAGGTGCCACCAAGGCCCAGATGCATCAAGTCGTCACCATCAAAACTCAATTTCTGGGTGGGGCAATAGCAGAGCTAGTAAGGCGTTTTGCCTTAAATGCGGCTGACCTGGGTTCGATTCCCAGCATCCCATACGGTCCTCCAAGCACCACCAAGAGTGATACCTGAGCATCGCTGGGTGTGACCCAAAAAGAAAAGAAAAAAAAACCCTCAATTTCTTCTAACTAGGCACATGGCTTGGATGTTAACTAGACCTACTGGGATCACTCCACAGCAGGAACAAATACTAAGATCATCATGTTCTACACCTACAACAAATACACCCCCTCACTGGTGACACAGCGATACCTTTAGGGGGGTGGGCCAGGGAAAGAGGGCTGGTTCACAACTGCCAGTGCTCAGGGCTTACCCCTGACTGCCCAGGGATCACTCCTGATGGTGCTCAGAGGACCATGGGGGGGGGGGGTTCCGGGGATGGGCCCGGGTCAGCCACCGGCAAGGCAAGCGCCCCACTGGCCATACGACCCCCTGAAATCTTTTAGGGGGAAATAAGTAAGCTGAGGGCTCTGTGCCCACTCACCCACAGCGTTGTTCCCGATGGCGATGATGAACTTGGAGCAGGGATACTTTTCCAGCAGAGAAACATCCCAAGCGGTCTTCGTCTGCCTTCGAAAAAGCCTCACCTCCCTAGGGCAAGACCGGAGGAGAGGGAAATGAAGACGACACATGGGGCCCAAGTGTCCAAGCCAGGATGCTGCCTTGACCCTGCCAGACCCTGACACAGGACGGTCCCCTGCCAGCATCAGGGCCTGAAGGAGGGAGGCACCGTGTGCAGGAAAGCCCTCCTGAGGGCTTAGACCCGGCAGAGCAAGCTGCGGGCAGCACCCCAGTGGCCGGTCCGTGTACAGGGCACCCAGACCCCAAACGCGCCACGCCCGCGCGGGGAGCGTGGGCCCAAGCCAGGGTCACGGGCACTGCGGGCAGACACCAGGATGAAGAGCCCGCGGGAGGTCAGGCCTGCGGGGCGCGGGGAGGGGGTCGGGACGCGGCGGGGGGGGGGGGGGGGGGGTTGAGACGGGACGCGGAGGGGGGAGCGACGTGGGGAGGGGACGGGGAGCGTGGGGGGGAGACGGGGCGAGGGGGTCAGGGCGCGGGGTGAGGGACGGGGCGCGGAGGGGGTGGGGCGTGGGGAGGGTGAGACAGGACGCGGGGGGGGGTCGGGACGCGGCGTGGGGAGAGACGGGGCGCGGAGGGGCGGGGTAGGGGGTCGGGGCGCGGGGGGAGGGATGTGGCGCAGGGGGGTACGGGACGCGGGGGGGTTGGGACGCGGGGTGACACGGGGAGGGGACTGGGAGCGGGGAAGGGGTCGGGGCGCGGGGGTTCGGGACGCGGCGGGGGACGGGTCGCGGGGACGGGGCGGAGGAGGGGGACGGGTCGCGGGGAGGGGGACGGGTCGCGGGGAGGGGGTCGGGGCGCGGGGAGGGGGTCGGGGCGCGACGGGGCGCGTGCTGGCCGGGCGCGACGGCCCGCGGGCGGCGCGTCCCTCGCGTCAGGATGCGGCACCGTGACAGGAGACTATAAACTAAAGGCGCCCCCGAGGGCCCGGGGCGAGGCGGAGCGTCAGGAGGATCCCTGGGCGCAGAGTGCGGGCCGGGCCAGAGCCGCGCCGGGTGTGGGCACCCCCGCCCCCAACAGCAACTCCCCCCCCAGACCCCGGAGCCGCGGGGAGGAGCGTCCCGCGTGGGCGCCCGGGGCTCCGGCGCCCCGGCCTCACCTCTCCCGCGCGCGCTGCCGCCGGACCTCCCGGTCCTCGGGCGTCTCCCGCCGCTCGTCCTCCTCCTCCTCCTCGTCCTCCGTGCCGGCCCGGCATCGCGACCACACCACCTCCCCGAAGAACGTGGCCGCCATGGCCTCCCAGCCCCCCTCGGCCGGCCCAACGGCGGCGTCGGCCGACTGCGCAGGCGCCCGCCCAGGCCCCGCCTCCCGGCCCCATCTCGCTCAATCAGCGCCCAGCTAGGCCCCGCCCCGAGACCCGGCAGCCACGCCCCCCGCCGTGTCTTTTCCGCCCCCCGCCCCGCGCACGCGTCACGCCCCTCGCTCTACCTCGCCCAATCAGCACCCAGCATGGCCCCGCCCCTAGACCCGGGAGCCACGCCCCCGCCGTGCCTCTTCCGCCCCGCGCATGCGTCACGCCCCTCGCTCTGCCTCGCCCAATCATCGCCCAGCACGGCCCCGCCCCTAGACCCGGGAGCCACGGCCCCGCCGTGTCTCTTCCGGCCCCCGCTCATGCGTCACGCCCCTCACAGTACCTCGCCCAATCAGCGCCAAGTATGGCCCCGCCCCCCCAGCACCGGGAGCCACGCCCCCGTCTCCTCTGCGCTTGCGCTAAGGTCCGGGCGATTCCGCAAACTCGGGATCGCTTTCTCACTCGGGAAATAGTGACTGGAGGACCGCGGGCCTAGAGAAGCAAGAGGCGAAGTTGGAGGCGGGGGCCCCTGGACACGGGGCGGGGCCTCCTGTTCCGCAGGTAACGGACGTGAGTGGGCGTGCCAGAGCCCTAGCGGCCTCCGCTCGGTTCGCGTTTGCAGGCTCCGTTAGGACCGGGAGGGGGCGCCCTTTCTTCCCAGCGCGACCGCCCCAGGTGGAGTGGGACCGCGGGGAGGAGGAAGCAGCGAGTCCTCAAGGATGCTCAGGCCTGGACCCTGTCCCCGGACCTGGAGAACTGCCCCTGCAGTAGCAGGTGATCGCCAAGAGGATCTGAGGACTGTGGGAGCATGCAAAAATGGCTTTTTTTTTTAAACTTGAATACTTTTCATTTTTTTTTTCATTTCATTTCATCATCCTGTTATTCGTCGATTGCCTGGAGCAGGCCCCAGTAACGTCTCTTTCATCCTAGCCCTGAGATTATATTCAAGGCTCTTTAGGAGAATGAGACCCATCATTGTTACTGGTATCTGGCATATTTGGTACTCCTCGGGGAGTTTGCCAGACTCTGCCCTGTGGGCAGGCTACATTCGATAGCCTGCAAGTTTGTCCAAAGTAGTAATGAGACAATGAAATGAAACTTGAATACTTTTAATACAAAAAAAATGTGTTTTAAACTTTATTTGAAAAATTGCTGGGCTGTTTGGTCTTCTTTAAAAACTGTTTCTCTTTTAGATATTCACGGAGCTCTATTTCAAGCGGGAGCAAAAGGGACATAGTTAAAACCCATTTACCTAGATTCCACTGTGCTGGAAATAACCGTCTTAGCTTGCATTTTGGGACCCTGCCAAGGCATAGTCTCAGTTAAGTACTAATTTGGGGTTAGGGAGTCTCTTGGATTTTTTTTTTAAAGTCTCATTAAGTTGCAAGAAACAACCTGTTTTAAGATATGAAAAAATTATCAAAAACAGCAGCATTACACAAAACCATTATTGATCACTTTATACATCACCGCAAAATAAAAGCTCAGGTTTTAAGCAAGATTCGATCATTTGTATGAACAAGACCAAATTGTTACCCAATGAAATTTTAGCAAACTTTGGAACTTGTTAGTTAACGAGAATAAACAAAGTTAATCATGCGATCTCTGAAAACTGACTCTGGGGTTAATTTTATAGAATGAATGGCAGAATAAAAACGTTGCTTGGGTTTCATTTTGTCACAACCCCTTTGTTCAATAAAATAAATTACCATATTTACCAGAAATCTGCTCATAATTGATTTCACAATTACAATATGAAAAAAATCAATTCTGGAAAGTTGATTAAAATTATAAGTGGAGTAAGGAGAATACATTTGATTTAAATTCTTTCCATTTTCAAGGGAGAGTTTTACAGGAATACTGAGTTTTAAGCAATTGCTTATTTCATGCAGGTAAAATAAATTTAGGCCAAGCACTTTTAAAAATGCAACTATATATTCAAATACCAAATCTGAAAAGGGATTTCATTATGGAAGAGAAATACAATCTAAGTATTGACAAATCCAACCACAGCAAATTCAAAATGAATTCATTACATTGAAATTTTCTGAAAAGTTTGCATAAAATAATCTTAACTGAGGCTATTTTCATTTTATGATATTTGTTGAGGATGTAACATACCCAGTAAGAAATATCTGTGAAATTAAGGGTAAATGTGACACTGCACATAGTTTCAAACATTTCATTAGAGATTAAAATCAAACCCCAGGCACCAAAAAATGGTTTTATTAAGTCTTCCCTTTCTCAGCATACTAGTATACGAAACTAGTACCAGTTTTTCAGAAGAAACTGTACCATAAATACAGGCTATCAAATATTCTGTAGAAAAAAAAACAAGCCTTTTTAAAAGCAGACATGCAATCATAAGTTTTTCCATAGATACTTGGTGCATCTGTGTAACCCAAAAATATGCATAACATTCTTTATCAAAAAGATAGAAATTACTAGGTTTTCATATTTAACTTTTTCATATTTACACATGCAAATCATATATAATATTCACAGTTATTTTCCAATGGAAAAACTTGTTTCTAACAATTCATTTTTGTGACAGCATGTGACTGGAAATATATTGAAAGTATTTGACGATCGATTCAATTAATCTGTTGGTCTTAATTTCACCAAACACCAAATTAGGAATCAGACCTCATTGCAAAGTGATTCTTGGAAGAATTGAGATGTTCCCTAATCCCAGCCTTGGCCTCAGTGGAAGAGGTCGGACATGCCATCATTCACATTTGTTAGAGTCTAATAAACCTCTTCAAAATGTTCACAAATCTCTGTGGAGGTGCTGAAGAGAAATGCTGGGGATGCCACAGCATCATCTAAAAATACGACTTTGGCTTTATACAATTAATTTTTATTTAAATTAAGACCTGCCTCACCAGAACATACCATTTTGACATCTCTATAAATGCTACCACATGAAAAATAAAAAATGAGTCATAGACATTGTGAGAATCATAAAACTTTCATCACTTTCTTAGAAAAATATATATTCCCTGAATTAGTCAGATCACACAATCATCAAGAATTCCAGTTTTACAAAATTATGAATGAAATTTCCCCCCAACTGCTTTGTTCCTTTGTTCCATGGTCACTCCCTGCCCTGCTAATTTGTCTGACCTTTGTCACTGAATCTAGGGACTGGATTTTGTTCACTCAAGAGTCAGGCTTAATTGTACTTCCTCTTGACCCTTATGTGCTTAATTTTTTTTAATTTCGGTAATTACACTGTAACAGTGATGCTATGAGTTGTTAAAATTAGCTCTTGACTCTTAAAATGAGGCGCAGATTGAGGCTTTTGAGATTCTTCAGTCCCTGAAGTTGGTGCCACATGCCCTATCCGCTTCCTCTTGGCGATTCTAGAGATTTCTTCCAGGCCTGTTCCTCTCAAAGAACGACTGTGGTCTTAGGACAGGCCCTTGGTCTCTTCTGCCCACCACTCCCGCTACAGACTCCAGCCCTCTGTGGGACTTTATCCCGGCTCCCGCCCTCTGGGTGATTCTTAGGAAACCCCTCAGAAGGTGCCGACCAAGGAGTAACTGGAGCCTTAAGAGCAGAATGGTAACTGCCTGTTAGCTCACGACCCTGACTGGTTTTTTTTTTTTTCACTTCCACTTCTACATGTTTCACTTGCTGTTGTTTTTCTTTCCAGGATCTGAACCTGCCTTAAATAAATAAATAAATAAATAAATAAATAAATAAAAACCTACTTTGGGGGCCGGAACGAGGAGAGGAGAGGGCGTTTGCCTTGCACACAGTCAACCTGGTTTCGACCCCCAACATCCCACATGGTCCCTGAGCACCACCAGGAGTCATTCCTGAGTTACAGAACCAGGAGTAACCACTGTGCACCGCCAGGTATGACCCAAAAGGCCAAAAAAAAAAAAAAACCTACTTTGCCATGAACATCATCTACCTCTTTTCGCTTTCTGAGTTCATGGTTGGGTCACCCTCTGTCATTTTTCCTTCCCCTGGGATAGTTATTCCCGCTCCTCTTCCTAATCCAGGCAGTCTCTGGTCTTCCCATCATTCCCTTTAAGTTTCTTGTTAGGTTTATTCTACTGGCAGCAGTAGTACTTTCCTGAGTACCATTTGTGCTTCTGGGGGTTTTGCTCGGGACCTGGGCTGCAGCCGCAGAATTGTGCCCCCATACCCCGTCACTTTTGTCCCGGGGTCTCTATCTCCAGGAACAGACTCTGAAAAATGAGTAGAAGCTCATGGAAGCGCAAAAGCTCTGGGAACACGAGATTTTAGGATTTACATTCCTTAACAAGACATCACCCCCAACAACAAATTTTGGTAACTACTCACATTGCTAAATTTCAAGCCAGGCATGAGCAACATCAATTACACTGCATGATCCGGTCTCTCCCCGACCTTAACGGTCTGAGCCTTCCCGGTAACTTACTGTAAGGCTGCTCACCACAGCAGCAGACTCCAAGAATGGATCCATCTCTTGAGCTCCTAAAGTCACTGGTCTAAAAGCACTTGCAAAAACCTGAGTTTTAAGAATAGAACCAAATGGAGGTTTCCATTTTATCATTCCAGTCCTCTGCCTTGAACTCTATATTAAATGGATCGGCAGGGGTTCAGGAGAGCACGTGCCGGGTTGAACCCAGCTTCCGTGTCCACTTACTACCCCAAAGCACCACCTGCGGTGGCCCTGAGTGAAACCCCAGTACTTCGTGGTCTGGCGCCCACAGAAACGTTCCGTATTTCTGCAGTAACCTTCCTGGACCCCTGGCGGCCCCCAGCCTTCTGTGTCCCAGGGCTGTGCAGGAACCCCTCGAGAACAAAAACTAGGTCATGCCAGCCTGGCATCCACACAACCGCCCTTGCCTCCACGAGGGTCCTGGGAAGGCCCAACAGCAGTCATTAAACTAGTAACTGGCATATACTGATGGGCTTGATAAGTGAAATGCAGTTTCTAAACCTATTTTGTTCCCGTTATTTGAGCATCTTACATAG